TGTGCAATGTCCAATCTCCAGTGAACTTCATATATTCTGTAACAGTCTCGCCCTGAACACGTCCTCATAACTTCAGCGTACGTCGTCCAATCTCAATGAAACTTCACGTGTGTTACGACAGTCCCGCCCTGAACTTGTCTACATGACAATATTAAGACATAGTGATAGTGCCACCTTCCGGCAACAGGTGGTAAGCGCTGCGTGGCGATTTTGAGCTGATTTACGTGACATTTTCATGTTGTGGTCCCCAAGTGTTATGACGGCACGCGACGCGGCCGCAGCACGCCCCGAGTTGGGTGGGGTGCGAGGTCCCGCTCAACGCTGCTTGCAGCTTTAATTATTATTATTATTTTTAGGACCCTTTGACTGCATTTTTACCCCCCTGAACATATACGAAAAGTCAATTTTATTTGGCAAAGTTGTCAGGCCTGGTGAAAATGCGGAGTTTACATGTGTCACTTTCGGGTCTGCCACTAGGTGGCGCTACTATTGAGAAACGAATTTTCACTTTTTTGTTACTTAATAACTTTTGCATATTTTCTCGCACATTCAAAACTTATATCCACGCGTTCGGTGAATGGAGCTGAACTCTCTCCATATAGGCCCCGCCCACTTCCGCCTATAATTTTTTTTCGTTAGAGCGCGAAATGTCGTTAAACTACTTTTTCGTGTTCCTCCTACACGCTTTGTCCGATTCGCACGAAATTTTTCACCTAGCACCTGGGGACCGCCCTGGCAAAAAAAGCAATTTGAACATTTTCGAAATTTCAAACAATAAGCACGCTATAAAATTAGCACTTCCTGTGGAATTTTCATCAAAAAAAGGAAGTGGACCATTTCTCCACATTGGTATGTCCGATTGACACCAAACTTGGGTGCATAGTTCCAGGTGTCTTCCTTAAGCATCGTGCACAATTTCAGGCCATCAGCACTAGGTGGCGCTCTTTAAAATGAAGACGTTTATATCTCTACAACGGTATGTGTGATTAAGATGAAACTTGGTATGATGCTTCCCCATGGCTCCCTGAGGCTCCCTTAAAAGGACAAAAAATACGCCACTAGGTGGCGCTCTTTTGGCATGAAAAATCACTGTACGGACACCGTAATAGTTATGAATATGAAATTCACAGGGCACGTGTAGAGTAGTGCCTGAAGCTCACATATCAAAAATCGTGTTTGTCCTGTGTGTAGCGCCCCCTACAGGATAAAAAAACAGCAGCCCCGGCGCCACGTTTCAACGATATGTACGGAACTTGGTAGGCCCGTTTAGAATCCCGGGACGTACAAAAAAGCCTCTTGGACCCATACCCTAAACCCCATAGGAAGTCGGACATTTTGATTTAAAGTTTCACTTTCGGTGAACTTTTTCGCGTTGTGTTTGAACGAACTCCTCCTAGGGAATTTATCCGGATATGCTTCAAAATTTGTGAGTACACTCAAAAAATGGTCCTGATTAAAAGTTGTGCTATTTGTGCATTACGTTCAAACGGCGTGTCCGTGGCGTTCCCCTCAAAGTCAGCCATTTTGAATTCTGTGCTCATTTTCTGTGATTTTTCGCCTTGTATTTGAGACGAACTCCTCCTAGGAATTTATCGGATCTACTTCAAATTTAATCAGCACAGTCAAAAAATGATGATTTAAACGTTGTGCTATTTATGCATTCCGTCAAAGGGCGTGTCCGTGGCGTGCCCTCAAAGTTGGCCATTGAATTCAGTGCGCAGTTTCCCTAAACAGATAGTTTTCAACTTGTATTTGTACGAGTCCCACCCTGAAATTCATCGGATCTAACTTCAGCGTACATGATCCAGTCACAAAACTTCACGTGTTTGATTAACAGTTGTCCAACTTGAGACTACGTTCTACATGACAATATTCAGACATAGTGATAGCGCCACCCATCTTGGCATACAAACTGATAGCAAAGTTGAGCTGTGACTGGTTACATGAAACTGACTGTGCCAGTGATGACTTGTCCAATTCAGCGGATTCGCCATAAAAAGTGCACTCACTTAACTTCAGTGTGCAATGTCCAATCTCCAGTGAACTTCATATATTCTGTAACAGTCTCACCATGAACACGTCCTCATTAACTTCAGCGTACGTGGTCCAATCTCAATGAAACTTCACGTGTTTTTTGACTAACGTGTTGAATACGCGCCTTGAACATGTCTACATGACAACATTCAGACATAGTGATAGCGCCACCTTCTGGCAACAGGAGGTAAGCGCTGCTTGGCGATTTTGAGCTGATTTACGTGACATTTTCATGTTGTGGTCCCCACGTGTTACGACGGCACGCACGCGGTCGCAGCACGCCCGAGTTGGGTGGAGTGCGAGGTCCCGCTCAACGCTGCTTGCAGCTTTAATTATTAGGGCCCGTGCAAGCCACCGCTGAGGTCCCTATTGTCTTTGCTCGATTTCTTCTTCTTACCTATTATTATTTTTAGTCCCCATTGACTGCATTTTTCCCCCCTGAACATATACGAAAACTCAATTTTATTTGGCAAAGTGCAGATCAGGCCTGGTGAAAATGGGGATATTACATGTGTCGTTCTGGGTCTGCCACTAGGTGGCGCTATTATCATAAAAATAGCGGCTAGGCTAATAACTGTGCATACTTTGTCGCACATTCAAAAAACTTACATCCACGAAAACTGGTCGAATGGTAAGCTGAATCTCCCCATATGTCTCTGCCCACTTCCGGCCTAGAATTTTTTTTTTTCTAGGAGCGCGAAATGTCCATAAAACTACTCTTTAAGTGCTCCTCCTACACGCCTTTTTCCGATTCACACGAAATTTTTCACCTACTACCTGGGGACCTACCTGGCATAAAAGGCTAATTTGAACATTTTTGAAATTTGAAAAATAAGCACGCTATAAAATTCCAACTTCCTGTAGATTTTTCAACAAAAAAGGAAGTGGACCATTTGCCCGCATTGGTATGTCCGATTGACACCAAACTCGGGTCCATAGTTCCACATGTCTTCCTTAAGCATCATGCACAATACCAGGCCATTGCCACTAGGTGGCGCTCTTTAAAATGAAGAAGCCCATATCTCTTGCAACGGCATGTGTGATTGGAAGATGAAACTTGGGTATGATGCTTCCCCCTGGCTCCCCTGAGGCTCCCTTAAAAAGGAAAAACAAAATACGCCACTAGGTGGCGCCTCTTTGGGCTTGGTAAATCACTGTGCGAATACCCGTAACAGTTATTATTATGAAATTCACAGGGCACGTAGAGTAGTGCCTGAAGCTCGCATACCAAAAAATCGTGCCCGTCATGTGTGGAGCGCCCTACAGGATAAAAACAGAGGCCCCGGCGCCTTACTGTTTCACCGATATGTACGAAATCCTCGGCAGGCACGTGTAACATGCCGGGACGTACAAAGCCTCTTGGACCCATACCCCAAACCCCACAGGAAATGGCTATTTTGGTTTACAGTTTCACTTTCTGGTGAACTTTTTTCGCTCTTTATTTGAACGAATTCCTCCTAGGGAATTTATCAGGATCTGCTTCAAAATTCTGTGAGTACAGTCCAAAAATGGTGCTGATTAAAGGTTGTGCTATTTGTGCATGTACGTTGAAGGAGTCCGTGGCGTGGCATCAAAGTCAGCCATTTAGATTTTTTTCGTCATTTTCTGTGAT